TCCCTTATATCTAAATCAGGTAATTTATATCTTGTTCCATACTTTATGTCACTTTCTCTTGTTAACATATAAGTCGTGGTTACCTTACATAATTTGTGATCCTATAACTTATATCACATGTTCATATAACAATTTTCCTATAATACATAAATCATTGTCATATAACTCATATCATATAAATTCATACCACATAACATATAATACGAACAAAACATATTCACACAATATTTAAACATAATCATACTTCTACTCCTACAATCATATTGGAAACAGACTTGTCGCAAGTCCAATTTCCATATTCAATACGTATATTATAATAATATGCACTCACCTGGCCTCACTAGTCAATATCGATCTCTTATCTTTTCCTTGATCGATCTTACTTGCCAAATATTATGGAATTGCTTTACGCTTAGAATCTACATAAATGTACATTTTAAGGCAATTATTAGATACCTACACCTTGTAATTGGATACTAGCAACTTACACGAACCTATTAAACCAATATTCACAACTTTCCTTTAGGGGGAATCGGTTCCCTCCTGTGGGGGTTTCGGTTCCCCCATGACATTCTGTAAATTCTGGTTCGTTTGAGGGGGTATCGGTTCCCCTTGAATGGGTACCGATTCCCCTAGCCCAAAAATCACATTTTGAGCTCGAAAATCACTTCATTTTCAGTTCCACACTTCCTATTTCACTTCCTTTAATATTCTTAACTCAAATATGCATACTTAAACTAATAAATTTTCATTCAATATCTATTTAACTTAAAAATCCACTCCTCCAAATAGCATTCAAGAATCATACCAATTTTTCCATGTTACCCAAACTTAATTCTAACACTTCTAGCTTCTTATTCTCATAGATGACAAGTCAAATTCAACTTCCAATTTGAGTAATGAACTCTATTCGAAAATTTCATTCAAAAACTCTTAATCTTTAATCTCTCCTAATTCCACCATCCTTTGTTTTTAAGATGATTTAAGCTTTCCTTAAGCTTAATTATCATCCAATAATCATAACCAAATCCTAAATTCAGCTAAATATCAACTAACAAGAGATCTTACCTTTGCTTATGGCTTCACGGTGGAAAAGAAGAGAATGAAGAAGAGAAGTTTGGAATTCTCTCATATTTCCCACGTTTTATAATACTCAAAAAGGGAAGATAAAAATATTTCCCATGAAAAGACCATTTTGCCCCTTTAGTTCATCCATCTTTGCTATTTAATCCAATATTAAAATTCTTTACTTAACTCCCGAGACTTTTAATTTATTTCTAAATTGAGCACAAACTTTCAAAATTTGCAATTTAATCACTGACCCTGATTTGGGATGTTACAATTATCCTTCAACTATAAGGCATTGCATTGTTGAGTCTCTCGATTATTAAAAGTTACAAAATAGTCACCTGATAATTCATATGTTCCTAACTCATCATTTTTCGTTAAAAAATTACCGTCTGAGCTAGACATTAACATGCTGATTGAGATATGATATTCGTTTGAGATTCTGGGATCAGATTTTATCGTATACCAATCAACATATTAACACCCAGCTCATACTGACATCAAATTTTTTAATGAAAAAGGACGAGTTCAGAATATATGAATAGTTGAGTGATCACTTTGTAACTTTTAATAGTCGGGAGACTCAACAAAGCAAATGCTTTATAGTCAATGGACTATTTTGTAACTTTTAATAGTCAGAAGACTCTATAAAGCAGCACCCTATAATTAGGGAACCATTTGTGTAATTTACCCAGAAATGATTTGCAATTCAATCGAAATCTCAAACTTGGCTTTAATGATGATGCTTTTATTAGTTTAATAATTCAATGTATCAATTAAGCAGTTTGGGTATTTCAAATTAACCTTAAATCGTGGGCAAGGAAAAGTATGCATAGTTAAAATGTGGTTCTAAAACCATTGGTAAATGTTTTTTTTAAATAAATCATTAATTTTATTCAAAATATAAAATATCCTAAATTATAATCAAGATTTACAATAATAATAATAAATTAAGCATATAATTAGGACAATTTACTATAATCATTGAAACGAAACTAGCAACTTAAGATCACATAAGGACCATACAAGGATAGATTAAAATCTAACCAAGAAAACTCGAACAAAGATAAATACAAACAGATCTAATCGTATTGGTAAACGAATCACAAAAGGGGATCAAACTACTGGAAGACCGTCTACAAATCGTAAACTAGACTTAAGCAACATAAAAAACTATATAATTATTTTTTAAACATTGGTATATGTTTCTTATGAGACATATTATTTTCTCTCTTTTTTACACTTTAACTAATAATTATCTTCTTTTTGCTAAGTGCTGATATGGAAAGAAACATGCCAACTATCTAATAATGTATCATAATAGCCTCTTTTTTATTGGTTAGAAAAAGTGTGAGGAATAATAATCAAAGTGATAGATGCTTAATTGCTTTAGGTATTCTTATTTTTCATTAACAATGCTGGAAGTGGGGACCTTAAAGATTTTGATTGACTCGAATTTCTTATTTATGAAATATCACGCTTTATAGATATGTTTTTTTTTATTGAATCTCTAAGTTATAAAACTTCACTATCTCTAGAATCACATATTGAATAATTATGCAAGAGCTTAAATCTGTAAGCAACAGTATTTAATGTATAACCAACAACGATAATCATCTCGCTTGGATTCTCAATCAAGTTTGCTTGTGGTGTATTTTGTGTCATAACTTGATACACACGTAGCAACTCACCTAATTGTTAGACTTCTGATTCGTTCTCAATTTCTTGAAGCTGGTTTATTGTTATATCAATATGGAGATTGTAAATTTGAGGGTGCGAGAACGAATACTATTCTTCAATGTAAAATTTTAGAAAATTTATAAATAAATGTTATATTAAAAACAATGTTATATTAAAATTTATAAATTTTAGAAAATTGGAAATGAATTATTGCTATTAATTTTATATAGTTTATATTATGATTAGTTAGTTGCTCATTGACATTGAAAATTCGTACCAAACTAAAAATAATAGGTCATGTCAATAATTATATGATTATTGGGATAAAAATGTTCTCAATGTTGGTAGATCATAGGTCAATCCACACATAGCACTGCTATTTTATAGTTTGGCCAATTCAATATGATCATTATAATGTCTTCTATCATAATTATCTTCAATTGGATTAAGAATTAAATTTAGATATATGTGTAGTATATTTCGTTTAATTATAAATAAATTGAATTTTTACTCAAACATCACGCATTTAAAAAAAAATATTTTAACATTTATTTATGATTAATTCTGATATAGCACGCATTTGATAAAAACGCTTTCTACATAAAATGTTTGATATCGTCACCCCTGATCAGGCTCGTGCTTATGCAATTATATGTCTTTAACATTCACCGCACATATTTATATATTTTGAACAAATTTTATATAGTTGTTTTTGTATTTTGAACCTTTTTTTTCTCTTTTCTTTCATTTTAGTCCAACATATTCGTACTGTCGCTATATAAGCAGAAGCTACATCTTGTAGGAAGTATTTTTCAAGGATTCTATCACTTCAATAAATATCGTGTTTCACCAAAATTGCTTTTACCGAATGAATGACATATTAAAAATTAATCGAGAGTGAGTATTATAATTAAAAGGGTAAAGTATATAAATGGTTTAAGTATTGTTTTTATTGAATCTCGACTATTGAAAATTGTAAAATAATATTTTGATTATATGACATTGTTTTATTGAATCATTGACTATTAAAAGTTACAAAATGATAAAATAATTATTTAAATATTCCAAACTCGTCATTTTTAATGACGATCATCAGATCCAATAATCATTTGAATTATATAGTCGTCTGAGATTCTAAGATCAGATTTTATCATATCTCAGTCAGCAACTTATTGTCCAACTCAGACGATCGTCATCTTTTTAAAGAAAATTTGCGAGTTTGAAACATATGAATAGTCAAGTGATTATTTTGTAACTTTTAATAGTTAGAGGAGTCAATAAAACAACTTTCTAAAGTCGAATGACCATTTCATAATTTTTAATAAAAGAAAAACTCAACAAAGTAATACTGTATAGTCAGAATAATTTGTATACTTTATCCTAATAAAAAACTATTTTTAAATGGATGATATTTGGATAACAATCCAATAAAATTGTACATTAAAAAGACAGTACAACTTAGCATAAAATGTAAAAGAAAAAGTTGCTAGACATTAATGCTACATGCAAGTAATACTAGTAATAAAGTAAACCAATTCTACATGTATCCATCAAGTACCAACCCAAGTACAAAGTCATAACAACGAACATGACTTTTCTACGAATAATTTCATTTTATTCTATAACTTAAAAGGCTTATTAAAGACTTTTCTACAAACAATTTCATTTTATTCTAGAACTTAAATGACTTATTAAATAGTTTATATATATATATTATTAATTTTGAGATTATAAGGTGACATTTATTTGATAATGAACTCTTAAATTTAAACATTTTTATAGATAATATGTTCGAAACTGAAACTTTTAAAGATAAAATTTATCTGCTTAATTATTAAAATCATTTGGTTCTTGTACTAAATGTTGATAGTATGTATATTTTAATTGAATTAAATAAAATATTAAAATGTAGCATTTTTATTTTTCAATTAAGTTAGTTGCATGTTAAACCTCAAGATCGTAATAGCTACTGAAGCGAGAAGCGTCGGTAGTCACTTGAAAAAGAAGTGTTTGTAAACATCCCTTATACTCCACGCGCCGTCCTTGTTTTAGCCGCCAAAACCCTGTTTTTATTGAAAAGTGGCGTACACGCTCAGCGTGAGTGATTCGGAAAGCATGTTCTTTGCTTATCTAATTATTTGTAAAAGAAAGAATTTTGCTTCAGTGTACTTTTTTTTCCTCGATGTGTTTTAACAGTTTCATGACACCCCAAAAGCCAAGAAACTACTAGTAAAAAACACAGCTTTCCTCTTCTTCTTCTTCTCTTCTTCTTCGATAACCTCTTTCAAGTTTTATCCTTACCTCACTACATTGGCATTCTAGACAAACCCTAGAGATTTTGAGCAAAAACCCATTTTTTTATCTTTAAAGCTTAATCCTTTTCTTTATTAGCAATCATTGTTCTCTGTTTCTCTTTTCTTCACAAACAAAATTGAGGAAGAACAAAAAGAGAGAAACTTTACCATAATCTTCTTTTGTTTACAGATCCTTTATAGTGGGCGGTGTTATTGTTTTTCTGCATTTTCTCAAAGAGAAAAAAAGTTTGGTGAAATATAATTTTGAAACAGAACTTGTTGGGTGTTTTTGATTTGTAGCTCTTCAGATCTGAAGGAAGGCTGAGGTTGTTTGTTTCAAAGCACTGTCTCTTTTGACTTTCCCTATACACTCACTTTCCTTCTTTCTTTTGTGTTTCCTCTCTTCAACTTTGCTTCTGAGAACCAACTAAAGAGTGTTCCTTTTTTTTTTCTCCCTCTAGGAATTCACTTTAAGTTCTGGTTTTTGAATAATTGGAGTGAGAGATCTGAAGAAATGTTGTCCATTGGAAGTCCTATAGCCACCAGTGCTCGTACAAGCGCAAGCTGCAGTGTATTGCTCAGAGAACTTCAGGTCCTCTTTGCCTTTCTCCCTCCTTTTTCCACCCTCTTTCTTCATTATTTTTACTTTGAGTCTCTTTTTCCTAGTAAACGCTGGTCTTTTGGGGAAGAAAGGAGGGAAAAGGTTTTTTCTCTCCTTACAATGATGAATGTTTGACAAAATCAATGACTTTGTTAAAAGTTAAAAATGAATTTAATGTTTCCTAGTTACTTAACTCGTGTATCATAATGAGTCTAGTAAGAGCTATGATTTCAAGGTCTCTTTAGGTCCTCTTTTGAGTGTGAAGAGAAATACAATCTTTATTCTTCTGCTTTAATGCTATAAAGGATGTTCCTGTGCCACTGATCTGTTTACTGAATTTCAGTCTTCTTTTCTCAAATTGTGTAAGAGTAGATATGGTTCTTGTATAGCCAGGATCTTCTCATGATTTGTGAAATTGTTCCCATCAAAGAGTTGTTTGAATTTCTTAATTTCTTGGTATAACCAAATATGTTGTTTTTTTGGTGTTTTAACCATTTTATAACTTTGTGGAATTAAGTTGTGCTAAGGATATTGGATGATTTTGTGTATAATTGGGATTAATTTATCATTGGTTTTCATTCTCTTAAAAATTTTGTTAAGTAATTCACTTGTAAGCTGGTAAGATTCTGAATCCTGATTCCTAAAAAGAAACCAATGCGTATTTCAACTCTTTGATGCTTTTTATTTGTCCTGAGAGCAGCAAATATGGAGCGAAATTGGCGAGAGTGAAGCCGATAAAGATCGAATGCTGTTGGAATTGGAGAGGGAGTGCTTAGAAGTCTATCGCCGAAAGGTTGACGAAGCTGCCAATGCCAAGGCACGTCTACATCAATCTGTTGCAGCCAAGGAAGCTGAGGTTGCAACGCTTATGGCAGCTCTTGGGGAACTCAATATTCATTCACCGGTAAACAGATTTCACTGGCTTTGGACCATCAAGCATATCACATGCCATGTTTCATACATTGTCCTATATGGTATTCCTCTGCTAATTTTGTTTCTAATTTAATACTCACAGATTCAGACAGAGAAGAAGATGGCATCATTAAAAGAAAAACTCGCGTCTATCACTCCACTGCTCGACGATCTAAGGACGAAGAAAGAACAAAGAACAAAGCAATTTGAAGATACAAAGAATCAAATAGAAAAGATCAGTGGAGAAATTTCTGGTTACAACTATCCAAATGATTCAATGATTAGCTGCTTAACTCTCGAAGACCAAGACTTGTCGGTAAGAAGGCTTACTGAATTTCAGACGCGTCTTCAAACTCTTCAGAAGGAGAAGGTAGGAATTTACTGAAATAAAAAGTTATGTGAAGTTCCTGATGCTTGCATGCTGGAATGTAATTTATACATAGCTATGATCATACATCGTATGTCCTTTGCACATCGGACCGTAATTTATACATAACAAGAAGGAGCAGGTATGGCCATCATTCGTAGCTAATCTTGGGTGCAAGGTTCATATGCTTTTATGGAATGTTGGTGCCATATTTAATTCCTTGAATGAATTTCAATAATTTTTTTTTATAATTTTATTCAAGATTTTGATGATATAAGCATTTTCATGTTGCAGTCTGATCGCCTTCATAAGGTTTTGGAATATGTAAATGAGGTGCATTTGCTATGTGGGGTACTAGGATTGGATTTTACGCAGACTGTAAGCGATGTGCATCCCAGCTTGCAAAGGACAAACCAGGAACAATCCACGAATATTAGCAATGATACATTTGAAGGTTTAGAGCAGACCATTAACAAGCTGAAAACCGAAAGAAGAACCCGAATCCTGAAGGTATTCTATACCCTTTCGTAGCTTTCGTGGGTTTTTCTTGTGAAAATTTGAATTTAAACCCGGTTTTTGAAATGAAGTTGAGGGATATTGTGGCCGAACTATTTGAAATCTGGAACCTGATGGATTCCCCCGAAGTCGAGAGGAATATTTTTTCAAGGGCCATTTCTATTCTTAGATTATCAGAACCTGAAGTCACCGAAGCAGGTGTTCTTTCAACTGAGATGATTGAACAGGTTTGACAGCGGTTGTAATCTGAATTTTTGTTAATTGCTGGAATATAGGTGCTCAAAATTTTATATTTTCGACAGGCGTCAGCAGAAGTGGAGAGGCTTACCAAATTGAAAGCTAGCAGAATGAAAGAACTTGTTATGAAAAGAAGATCAGAATTGGAAGATATTTGCAGAAGGATTCATATTGAACCCGACGCAAGCACTTCTGTCGAGAAATCTAATGCATTGATTGATTCTGGTATTTGCCTCTTGTTTCCTTGCCACAATGTCTTGCATTTAAACAATCTCTCATTTGAATTTTACTTGCTGCTAACATAGATAGTGATGGATATTGCTATGTTGTTCAGGTCTTGTAGACCCTTCTGAACTTTTACCAAACATTGAAGCACAGATAACTAAAGCTAAAGATGAAGCTATGAGTCGAAAAGAAATAATGGATAGAATAGACCGATGGCTCGCGGCATGTGACGAAGAAAATTGGCTTGAAGACTACAATCAAGTAAGAAGACATTATGTGTATCTCGTATTCTCCTAATCTTCGTTTCTCTTCAATGTTGCTTGTTGTAGACTAAATACAAGTACATTGACCAGTGATTTTCTGTATAAATTTTTAAAGCGTTTGTTGTTTAATCTTCATTTTGAATTTCAGGATGTAAACCGGTACAATGCAGGGCGAGGTGCACACATTAATCTTAAACATGCAGAAAAAGCCCGAATAACTGTAACTAAAATTCCTGGTATTTATGCTCCTTATTCTTCTTCTCTTTGACATATACGTTTGGATTATTGAGCTAATAAGTGTACCCTATGCAGCATTTGTGGATGATCTGATCAATCGAACACTATCTTGGGAAGAAGAGAAAAGGACATTGTTTCTGTATGATGGGGTCAGTAGTTTTTTAGCAGCTCAAATTTCTGTAAACTCGGACAATTGTTATCGTTTGGATTTGTTTCTGAATAAGCTTGTTTGTAAAATAGGTGAGACTAGTGTCGATACTGGAAGACTACAAGCTAGCGAGGAAACAAAAAGAAGAGGAAAAGAAGAGATGCAGGGTAATTTTGATTGATGGGTTCCTTAGGTCCCTTTTAAATTATTTAATGTGACCTTTATATGATGAATGCCATTTTCAAGTTGGTCGCATTGAATATCAGCATCGACCTCTACCACTAAATACATGCATTTTCGTGCCTATTCCATTTCGTAGGACCAAAAGAAGATCCAAGATCTGCTTCTGACAGAGAGAGAATCAATTTATGGGTCAAAACCTAGTCCAAGGAGAAGTAACAGCTTCAGAAAGACAATTGGTTATCGAGCAAATGGAAATGGATCCATGACTCCCAGTACCCCACGTCGGAGCTCGGTGAGTGGAGCAACACCTGAGCTGCTTACCCCACGATCATACTCAGGACGTCAAAATGGCTACTTCAAGGAAATGAGAAGGTTGTCTACAGCACCTCTGAACTTTGTGGCCATATCAAAGGAAGATACAGTTTCTACATACACATCCGTATGTGATTCGGAGCTGGAGTCTCCCTCGCATAGCTAAGGAAGTCAGAAATGGTACGTTTTTCTTATGCCGTTGACCTCTTTCATTTATGTTCACTTTTAACCTGGATCTGTTCTTTCTCTTAAAAGAAATTTTGTTTAAATTGCAGGAAGAGGTTGTACGATGTTATAGTTGCAATAAGTGTAGACTGGATTATAGCAGCGAACCTTGTGTTGTGAATACAAAAGGGTATGGTAGATTAGTGTATGGATTGTGAATTGGTAGGAGTCGAACAGGACAGGTGACTGACATTCGAGGGCGAACGTGCTGAACGACAATATTTTCATAGGCAGAGAACAACACTGATAGAAAAAGAAACTAGTTTGAAAATCGTGTTAAACTTGTTTCCGTTTATGGCATCGAATGGTGTATAGATAGCATTGCTAGTAGTAGTAGTTCTGATCTTGCTTTCATGTTTCCTGGATTTTGCTTTGCTTATATTTCATTGTCTAATGTATGTATGCATGCTTGAAATGTATGTTTTGTTAAGTGTCGAAATTGTCAAATAAATAAAACCTTTTTCTCAAATAAATAAGTTAAGAATGTAGTATTGAAAAGAATGGGTCCATTTGCAGGGACTTTGGAAATTTCCAATATCGATTTGAATTGATCTTGATGCAAGAAAATTGCATAAGTAAAATAGAGAGGATTTAACATAATAAATTGAATAAATAAAAATAATAAAAGTAAATGATTGAGAATAATTATGATGAGAGAGCCTCTAGTTTCGTTTTGCCTCAATTTATTTTGATCACTAAAATAGATTTTACTTCGGGATTCTTGTCCCAATATTTATAACTTGCTCTTCTCTCATGTGAACTAATTTTAAAGTCAATCATTGAAATTTAATTCTTGTTTGGATTAACAACGGATATCGATGTTAAGAACAATGCTACTTTAAGTGCCGGAAAAGATTGTGCTTAGATAATGGTGTCTCAATAAGAGTTGAACCTATCTTAGGAAGTTGAATTTGCTACAAGCTAATTCTTCTCCCAAACGATAAATCAAAACAACATTCAAGTCAATATGTACTCTTTGAATTGAAAGTGTTGAGATATTTAAAGGAAATGCCAATTGACAATCCTAGTTTGTAGAAAATCAAGAAAAGATACATGAAGGTATGAAGCGTTTTCCAATTCTCACGAAACAGAATGAGTTGTTGCTCAGCTTTCGACTAATTAGAGTTTAGTCAAGCATGGATTAGATCATGTTTAGTATTGTCAAAAGAAAATAATGAAATAAAAAAAAGATGAAAGAAAAGTAGAACTTAAATAAATAGCCAAGGAAATATAAATTTCAATATGAGTTTAAAGGGTCAACCTAAGAGGTATTTATAACCCGAAAGTTCTAAGTAAATAAAATAACTAATCCCTAATCAAACTAAAAATCCAACCAAGAGTTCTAATAAAATAATTAATTCCTAAATAAAGTAATCAAACTAAAAATCTTAAATAAAAAAGTAATAATAAAATAAAAATACTAAATCTAAAAGGTTTATTACAAAAGATAAAAATAAATATTTAAGTCTTGTACTTCTGATTGAATTCTACTTCATTTTATAGATAACCTTATGCCAAATAAATTCTAATTAAATATTCAAGATAATTTGTTCATCTTCTAGAATATGATGAATGGACCATCAAAATATACTACTTTTTGGGCTAATTATTTCAATAAAGCTCCTATCCAAATTAAACCCAAAAGAAAGATAAATCAGTAATATCTGATCGAAAAATAATGAGTAAATAACAATAAATATATGCAACATTAAACACTCATCAAATTCTCCGTCGCTTATTCAATGCTTGTCCTCAAGCATACTTCAATCCATATTTCCATCATATATCAAAGATTCACTCAAAAAATTTTGTCAAATCTTAAATTCATGCATGGGTTGAAAAAGTTAGACAAGTTAATCAAATAAAAGTAAAAAGTTAATCCAATGAACAACAATTAACCAAATGAATAAGGGTAATATATGCAGAGCTTTTGCTATTTGCTTGTAAGATGAAATCGATTGGCGGAGTGTGAGTTTTATTTGCCTCCCCTTTTGTATATCTCTCTCTCTCTCTTGTATTCAAGTGCTAAATTCCTCTCTTTTTTCTGTTTTGTTTTTTTCCTCCCCTTTTTTCCACTTCTCTCTATTTAAAAAAAAACTATGTAATCTCGACTCATCACTGAACCTTTAAAATGGAAACGAGATGAAAACCAAGCACCTTACTTCGGTTCTTCAATTAGGTCACATTCAAACGATCTACCACTCACAATCATCTCACAAAGTTATACACCAGAAGATAACATTAATCACTAGTGAAATAAGCACAAGCTCATATTTAAGCAACACTAACAATTATACCACAAGGTTAAAGGCTTTTATCAAATCATCTTATCGACTCAAATCAATTATTCATGCATAACAAAGTCAACTCAAGCTTATAAACAGGGGATTATGATAAAACTAACAAGTCAACCAAGGAAGGCAACAATCATAAGCATTGAAATATCCCATTAAACCAACATGAATAAGCAAAGTGAAATTCTCAATCTACCCCTCCCCTCACTTAAAGTGTATTGTCCCAGTATGGGAAAAAAATAAAGCACAAAGTGAAAGAAAGTAGAATACTCTCCATATCTAATCTGATGTGACACGAACAAACTCCATGGTCATATCTTTAAGCTCGATCAAAATACCTAGTGTGCCTAAAAATAAAAAGAAAAATAAATAGACAACTAGAAAAAAATAGTAAAATAAATAAGTTGAACGAAAAATAATAAAAATGGGTTATCTCCCATTAGAGTGCTTTTGTTTAACGTCGTTAGCTCGACAACCTGGTTCAGACTAAAAGTTCTTTAAGAGATACTTTCTCCACGCTATTGTCCAATTGAGAACTTCCTTATGAGAAATTCTACGATCATAGAATTTTTTCATTTTATCCTTGTAGATTCTAACATTCTCATAAGCTTTTTTTAATCATTTTCAGTTTTAAAAGCTTGTCCAAAATAATCGGTGAAGTATTTTCTTTACCCAAGAATGTGTTCTTCAAATGTTTCTGTAACATCCTCAATACCCGGTTAGTGACCAAAGTGTGAAATTTTAAAAATTTAGTGACCAAATTGGATAAATTGAAAAGATGAAAGAATTAATTGAAATATTTTATATATGATAGTTTAGTAAATGAAGAAAGAGTCAAAGGGCAAATGGGCCGTTGAATAAGGAAAATAATTAAATAATAATTAGTGGGTATTTTAATACCCAATGTGGAGCATGTTTTGGGAAACAATGTTTCCAGATATTTCTTCTTCATATTCTTCTTCTCCAACATGAAGCACTCAAGCCAAGATAAGTTGGATTTCTTTTGGTTAATCCTTAAGATTAAAGTATGATTTTGATTAAGAAAGATTTAGGAAACATGATGGAGATGAAAAAGGTCATAGAAACCCAAAGATTTGTAAGTTATGAAAGATTAAAGCTAAGAAGTGGATAAGTGATATTTTGAATAAGGATGTATAAATGAATTGAGAAGTTGAATTTGACTTGTCATAAGTGTGAATAAGAAGTTATAACTGTTAGAAATAAATTTGGATTACATGGAAAATTTAGTAAGATTCTTAGTTTTAAGAATCTGAATGATATATGAGAGATAATAAAGTGTCGGAATGATAAAAGTTAGTTAAAAATTGTTGTAGTTGAGTTTAATGGTATGAAAGGAGTTTTATATGAGGAAATTTAGTGAAGAGTTGATGAATTTTTGGGTGAAAAAGTCTGGGCAGGGTGCATCAGTACACTATGAATGGGTATCGATGCACTAGGACTAATTTTGAAGGTGCATCGATACATTAAGGGGTGTATCGATGCATGAGAATTTTGAACCTAATTTGTGTTCTGATACACCCATATTGCATCGGTACATTCCTAAAGGAAATTAGGAATTTGGCTTATTAAATTAATTTAAGTTAATAGCATCGACATATAAGGTTTAGGCTTCTGATAATCATCTTGAAAATTATATTTATGTAGATACAGAGCCTAAACGAGTTCCGGAACAAGTGATAAGTAAGATTGATCGAGGGAAAGGCAAGGAAATATAGGTGAGTGCATATGCATAGCATGAATATAGTAGTATATTCAGTTCTAGACTTGTTATAAGTCTAGATTTAATATCTTGATACATGATTACATCCTATATTATGATACATGACATGAATTCATATTATATGGATTATGTGACAATTTTCTTAGTGAATATGTTTGAAAAGTTACATGAGTTATATGATAAAGTTAAGAATTTACACGTCTACGAGATATAAACTATGTGAATTGTGAAAGCCCTGTTATGTAGATGAGAACTATAGGTATAGTTTGCATGCCAAGAGTAGAGGGTCTACGCGGTCCTTCGAGACAATTCTACGTGGTCCTTCGGGACATATATGTATTCTTTGAAACATGTATGAGGTCTTTTGAGACACCTATTTGATCATTGGTATATGTATATGATTATTAAGGAATTTCTATGTGGTCCTTATGGACAAATTTTATATGGCACTACGGTACAATTCTACGCGGCACTTCGGTGCAATTCTACATGGCACTTCGGTGCAATTTATACGAGCTGTGGTGACAGCATAGTGCACAATCTCACATTACTCACATACCTCAGGTTCTCAGTATGATATCATGGGCTAGTGAAGTTATTAATACGAATTCATGATGGTTAATTTGATGAGATTATTGGTAAGATACATTGTTATGCAGCTTACATGGATTGCATATATGATTTCATTACACTTTATCTTATTATAGCATCATTATTATATTTCATTGTTATTATTATTATGCCTCACTAAGTCGATGACTTAGCGTGTGAGTGTTTCACACGTAGGATTAGAGAAGATAGACAAGCAAGGTTAGACAGCTGGGACAACATTACTTCTACAACTACCAGATCAGAAAAACCTTAAATAGTATGTATTATTATGTGATAAATAAATTGACATGTAAACAAAGTCGTTAAATTAAGTATGCATGCTCTGATTGAGTTTGGTAATGTTTTAAACGTATTTATGTAAATTATAACTTTATAGTAATGAAAGCTTAAATTTTTATGAGTTTTATATAAGTTGAGTTGAACTTACTGTAGCAGTGCATCGATACACAATTTATATTCGATGTTTTTGTGCATCAGTACACTGTAGCAATGCATCGGTACACTGTAGCAATGCATCGGTATACTATTTGCACAATATTGGTACTATTCATACCATATAGTACTATTCATAAAAATATTTTTACCTTAAATTTGTCATAATGAAACATAATTCAATAATATATTATTGTATTTTCTTAATATAAGTCCAAA